TACGGGTGCTCACAGCTCCACTGCTGCCTTCCTGGCCATAGCTGATGCCACCACCAATGCCATAGCTGGTTCCGCAGCAGCTGGTCTCACAGCAGCTTGGCTGGCAGCAGCTAGTTTCACAGCAGCTTGGCTGGCAGCAGCTGGAGCCACAAGTCCCACTGGTTGAGAAGCTGGGAAACCCACAGAAGCTGGTCTGGCAGCAGCTTGGCTGGCAGCAGCTGGTCTCACAGCAGCGTGGCTGGCAGCAGCTGGTCTCACAGCAGCGTGGCTGGCAGCAGCTGGTCTCACAGCAGCTTGGCTGGCAGCAGCTGGAGCCGCAGGTCCCACTGGTGGAGCAGCTGGGAAATCCGCAGAAGCTGGTCTGACAGCAGGTCATGGTGTCAGGAGTTGGTCTGAAGTTTGGGTTGCTTGGAGGAGTTTCTGAGTTGTGGCTGCCTATTCCACCTCGGGCTTTTTATAAGTCTTGACCAATTCCTCTATCTGTGGCGAGCAACATTTTTATCTTGTTACTCTTTAAACCAGCCTTTCTAGGGCCCTCTGATGGTTCAAATGCTGAATTGTTTTAAATATATCTTGAAATTGATTTTTCCTTATTGCTCAGCTAATACTCACCAAATGTGTTTGTCCTTGGTAAAAATGTTAACATTTTGTTTTCAAACAATGGTGTAATTTCTACTTGAGCTTCAGCTTCAGTTTTGCACTTGTGGGCATATCATCTGACAAGGTGACTCTCACCCATAAGATGATGTGATTTTGGGGATTGTATTCATCAAACCTCAAGTCTCCAGAAAAGAATTATGAATCATGACTGTCCTTATGTAAGATTGCTTTATATTTTTTAGACTAGTAAGATTATACTCTCTCTATATAATCTTATTAGCCAGATAGAAATTCTGATAAACTCTACATTCATAGAAATTCATATATTTTTCACTGAAATGAAATCTTTCCAATTTCTGTGATATCTCCTGAACTTCACATTCATATCTGAGGAAACATTGATCACTCAGGAGGATATATAAAACAAAACCTGTTCAATTCCAATGTCTCTTAAAAGAAAGGCTAAAATTCATATTCAGTAATTGGAAAAAGATTGCAAAATATTTTAATGAAATTTACACTTCTCTATGAAAGACAAAAATCACCAGTATATGGATTATCTGGCATATAATTTCTCAAAGGCAGAATTTATTTTTAATTTATGTCATTTCACATTACTAAACTGTGTGTCCTGTGAAAAGATATTAGACCAAAGAGCATGACAACTGAATTTAGGAAGAGAAATCAATCAAAGAAAAAGCAAGAGTTAGAAAATACTTTTTTCTGCTTTATAAGGCAGGTTAGAAAATGGGTGACCAAATATAGTTCAAGAGGTGTAGTATAATAAATGCAAAGAGATTAAGATAAATTTTGACAAAATAAAAGTTAAAACAATTCCTGGCCATTGCTAGAAGAAAGAATGTGATTTTCTACTGGGAGTTTAGGGTTACATAACATACATGAAAAAAGTCTGGACAAAAACATATTATTTCTACTTGGGGTAGGTTTATTTCTCCCTTCCCATCATGAATAGAAACACATAGTTAGCATTTTATGAGGTGGTGGTGTTTGTACAGGAATAGGGTTATATTACAATGTGATTCATGCCAGCATCAGTAAAGATGTTCATGTCATATGGTAACTATGACTGTAGGTATGACATTGAAAATGGTTATATGTAATCACTGAACGTTGGAGATCAAAAATGTGTAAATTATCTTGTTCCACCACTTAATTTTATAGGTGTAGAAACTGACATCATTCTTATTATAAATAGCACATATTTATTAACTTCTACTATGCCCAGAGCACTAAAGGCTTATACAGAAAGCAGGACCCCATCTGTTTGTTTCATATCTTGCTCTAGTATAAAAATCAGTGTAGTAGTAACAGGAGGGATTAATCAAGGAAAAGAGTGGAGTAAAGAACTGTTTAGCCTCAAAGTTCTAAATGGGAACATTGGTGGTGTGGCATGGAGCACTTTTCATTTTCACTTAACATTAGTTGGTGTTAGAATACTCTTGAGTCTTGGAGAGGTTAAGCGACTTGTTTCCATTCCCACAGTACACAACTAGAAGAGCTGGGTATAAAACTCCTATCACTCATTCCTAGACCAGTTCTTTTTATTTTATACCATGCTACTTTTCAGAATCAATTAATGTTAGTAAAGCTCTTTGTATTTGTCTTTTTTTCTTAAAAAAAGTATTTTGTAATAGCTCAAGAATATAAATATTAGATGGTAGACAGATGACACTATGGACTAGCAATTTTAAATACACAATAAATAAGTATAAATATGTTAAAGTTCTTTTAAATATCTGGACCAGAGACTTTTTAAAAAAAATTATTATTATACTTTAAGTTCTAGGGTACATGTGCACAACATGCAGGTTTGTTACATATGTATACATGTGCCATGTTGGTGTGCTGCACCCATTAACTCGTCATTTACATTAGGTATATCTCCTAATGCTATCCCTCCCCCCTCCCCCCTCCCCACAATAGGCCCCGGTGTGGACCAGAGACTTATAATTGGAATAAATCACATTTGCTTCCTAGTCGTTTTTTGTTTCCCACATTCAACTAAGTTAATAAACTTTCTGGGTTTCTACATCTGCCATACTCATTGTGTCTTCTTTATTCCATGGGTATTATCTTAGTTGAGCTCTTATTGTACATCGCTTGGACCAGGGCAATATCTTCCTGATTAGTTTCTGTATAGTTCTGTGCAACTTATTTCTCTGGCCTTTGACCTCTGTCTTTATAAGGTGCTATCATGAGAATTGTCCCAATGCCCAGCTCTTGTTATGCCATTTTCCTGCCCCAAAGCTTTCAACAGCTCCTTACTGCTTATTGCATTAAGGGTGTACTCCCTTGTCTAGTATTCAAAGCATACAAATTTTCCAAATCTTTCTTTCACTATCACTCTCTATATATCCAGTGCCCCCAGCCAAACTGTACTCTGAACAATGCTATGGTTCCCCTCCCTCCATACCTTTGCTCATACTATTTCTATTGCTATGAATGCCATCCCTCTGATCTGGGTAGCACAATCTGAACCCATATAAAATGTTAGCTTCTCTTTTCAATCTTTCTTTTTTTCCCCAACCAATAGTGACTTCTGTGTTGACACCACACAGTGTTGTACTTTTATTTTTTCATATTCTACTTTTTAGATGAATTATAAGTGAATATGACTCATGTCCCTAGAAGCTTTTTGAAGAGGGGAACATTTTTAATTCAATTTTAATTTCTATTTTATACCATGTAGCCTGTGACTTGCATATGGTAGGCAAACAGTGCATTTAGACCCTATTTGTCAACGTATTTAAAAACAGCCCAAAATGGATTAAATACTTAAATATAAGACCGCAAATAATAAAACTACTAGAAGAAAACATACAGGAAGCATTTTATGGCACTGGTCTGGGCAATGGTTTTTTTCTTGTGGGGATAAGACCTCAAAGGCACAGGCAACAAAAGTGAAAGTAGACAAATGGGATTATATAAAAGTAAAAACCTTCTGCACAGCAAAGGAAATAATCAAATCAACAGAGTGAAGAGACAACCTAGAGAATGGGAGAAAATATTTTCAAACTATGTATCTGACCAGGGGTTAATATCCAGAATGTATAAGGAACTTGAACAACTCAACAGTGAATAACGATAATAAATCCAATTAAAAATAGGTAAAAGACCTGAATAGATATTTCACAAAAGAAAACACACAAATGGCCAACACATATATGAAAAAGTGCTCAGCATCACTAATCATCATGAAATGCAGATCAAAACCGCAATGAGATACCATATCACCCCAATTAGAATGGCTATTATCAAAAATACAAAAAAGTAACAAATCCTGGTGTGGATGTGGCAAAAGGGGAGCTCATACAAGGTTGGAGGGAATGTAAAGTAGCATAGCCATTATGGAAAACAGTATGGAGGGTCCCCCAAAAATAGAACTACCATATGATCCAGCAATCCCATTACTGAGTATATGTCCAAAGGAAATGAAATCAGTGTGTTGAGGAGATATCTGCACTTCCATGTTTGTTGCAGCACTACTCACAGCAGCCAACGTATGAAAACAATCTAAGTGTCCATCAATGGATGAATGGATAGAGAAAATATGACACACACTCTCACACACACACAATGAAAACTATCAGCCATAAAAACAATGAAATACTGTCATGTGCAACAACATGGATGAACCTGGAGGACATTATGGTAAGTGAAATTAACCAGGCACAGGAAGACAAACAGCACATTCTCTCACTCCTATGTGAAATCTAAAGAAGTTAATCTCATAGAAGTAGAGAGTAGAATACTGGCTACCAGAGGCTGGGGAGAGTGAGAGGAGGGGAGGATAAGCAGAGATTGGTCAACAGGTACAAAGTTACAGATAGATAGGAGGGATAAGTGTTGGTATTCTAATGTACAGTAGGATGACTATGGTTAGTAATATTGTATCGTATATTTCAAAATAGCTAACAGAGAAGATTTTAAATGCTCTTACCATGAAGAAATGATAAATGTATGAGGTGATGAATATGCTAAACACCCTGACTTGATTATTACAAAATGTACACATGTATGGAAACATCACACTGCACCCCATAAACATGTACAATTATGTGTCAGTTTTTTAAATTAAAAGTTAATTTAATACAAAACATTAGAATGAGTAAATTAAACCAAAGTTTTTGCAAGACCAAAGAACAGATATTTATTAGAAAATAAACATGCCACAAAATCTTAGATAGGAAGAAGGAAATTGCTTCCTTTACAAAGACTTCAGAAGGGCCCAGGTCTTAATGATGAGCCCGGTTCTCAGTTCCCAGCTTGGTTGATGTGGGGTCTTGCGGGCTCAGGGCAGGAGGTTTGTTAAAGTAGAGAAACGGGAGTGTGACTTTTTCAGAAGGTGAGTTGCATGTTCCGGGCAGTCAGTGCCCTGCTCAGCAGGAGAAGGTCCTGCAGGTGGTGCTGCAAGGCGTCGGCTGGCCGCAGGGGGGCCGGCAGCAGGGGGACTGCACAGACACAGGCTGGCAGCAGGTGGTGGCCCAGCAGCAGGGCCTGCAGACCACAGCCGTGCACGACGTGGGGCAGCAGGTGATGGGGCGGCAGCAGCCTTCCTGCAGGGAGCAGGGGTCGCAGCACACCGGGCGGCGGCAGGGCTCGCAGATGGGGCGCGTGCAGCGGGGCACGCAGGTCACGGGGCGGCACACGGTGGTCTGGTAGGTCACGGGGCGGCAACAGCAGGGGTCGCGGTAGCAGCAGGGCTGGCAGCAGCCTCCCCCGTAGCTCAGGGAAGAGAAGGTAGAGCCGCAGCAGGAGCCGGTCATGGTGGTGTGTGAGGCTGGTGTGGGGTGGGCTGTTGAGAGGAGCTGGATGTTCTCAGGTGTGAATGTCCTCCTCCCGCTCTGGGTCCTTTATATACCCTGGCCAGGGGCAGGTGACCCTTTTCGTTTACCTTTTGGCCAATTAAGTAGAATTCTGTTTTGGCTAATGGTTGCTTGTGACACACTCATTATCTCATTAAAGAGCTCTTGTTGCATCTCTAAGTATGGATGTACTACACGGTGTGAAAATCTTAAGAACTCATCGTCATTTGAGGTGATAGTAGCTCTCGATGCTTATTTTGAGTAGATGGCACTGGATCAAATCCGGACAAAATGGTCTAAAAAATTTTCAGTTTTAAAAAGAAATTATAAACATAGGGGAGTACATAGAACACTGAGTAGAGCCTATCCTGACCCCAGCAGGGGACTCAAGTTCTTGGAAGCACCTACATGTGAAAAGTGAATCACACAAGTGTTAGACAAGACCTCCCATGTAGTCTGCTTGGGAATATGTTTATCACTTGAAGTAGTGGGATACATAGGCCTTGAATAGGATAGTAGCTCATCTAGTTTTACAGGACAGATGAAAATTTTTGCAAGCCACTAAATATTGGAATAATACTTCCAAGACTGCCTTGCATGTTTTCTTTTCTCTAGTACATGGTTCTGTGCAACTCTGGTCCTTCTGCTCATAAGGTGCTGATTTTTATCTCTGAAACATGTCATTTTTAAGCCTTGCCTTTCTTGTGCATGTAATGAAGAATTCTGTAATGGGAAATTTTTCTTAATATACCTTGACAGCTGGGCGCAGTGGCTCATGCCTGTAATCCCAACACTTGGGGAGGCTGAGGCAGGCAGATCACCTGTGCTCAGGAGTTCAAGACCGCCCTGGGCAATATGGTGAAATCTCAACTCTAATAAAATACAAAAAATTAGCCAGGTGTGGTGGTGGGTGCCTGTAGTCCTAGCTATGCAGGAGGCTGGGGAACGAGAATCACTTGAGCCCCAGAGGCGGAGGTTGCAGTGAGCCAAGATCATGCCACACAACTCCAGCTTGAGCTACAAAGTGAGACCCCATCTCGAAAGGATATATACATGTATACCTTGACATAAGTGCTATGACTAGCAAGTGACAAGAAAGGGATTTTCAACCGACATTGCACACATATCCAGTACACTGTTCAATGGAGACACGTTGGGAGGCTGCCCAGTGTTCTGCTGTGGCACTGCTAAAAGCGTGATGGACGGGCTCCTTCAGGAAGTGTTGCCAGAGGCAGTTTAGGAACTGCAAAGGGAAACAATCCCATTACCTTCCAGCTTTACTCCTCCTGTTAGTCACCAGACAGGGTTTTGAATCACTTCAGGATCATTTTCTTTATTTGAAAGAATGTGCCTTGGACCCTGACATCTTAAGCTCCCCAAATGGAATCTCAAGCATAATTTCAAAACTTTAAGGGGAACGTAAATTGACGGAACCCATAGTCACAATTAGCGAAACAGAAGAAGGAGCTATCAGGCACAATCTCATCACTAGAGACCTTTGACTCTCTTGTTTTAGATTCCTTTCTTTGTTCATGGACATGGGATTTTTGTTTTTCAAAGCGGTAACCAGAGGTAACTAGGTAAAAAGTTGTATATTCTGCTCTTTTTGAGACATATTATCTCATAATTTATTTTCATGCTGCTGTGGAGTCTTCATGGTAATCACATTTTATGCAATGGGAGCCTCTTTGGAAGACTTAAATCATCACATTAACAAGACTCATTTCTCTACTGCACAAACTTTGAACCCAAGTTAATTCCAAAGACATCTGTCTCTCCCCTTTGTAAACATCCAAAAAAATAGTCTGTGTATCATTCAGTAAACCTTTCTAATGTTTATTCACTCTAAGACACTTATCCACACCCCATAGCCAAACTTAATTTGCAGGCAGAGAAGTTATGGGTCACGCTTCAGTTATTCATGCCCCAGAGTTGTGAGAGTACAGACAGCTCTGCGGTTTGAAACTGGTGGCAAGTCACATCCTATTTTCTGACCCCACTTATTCTGAAACTGGACAATGCTCATTTAAAGCTCTGCTGCTTACTGGCTGTGTGTCCTTGGGCAATAATAATAGTTCATATCAGAATTGTTGTAAGGATTACATGAGCTAGTATTTGTCAAGTGCTAAGAACAAATAGTGTCTGGTACTTATTGTCTAAAATATATATATTTTATATATAATATATAAATATATATTTATATATAACATATAAAGATATATTTACTATATATACTATATATTTATATATGACATAAATTGCTATATATTTAAATATATATTTATATGTTATATATAAATATATAGTATATATAGTAAATATATTTTTAAATATACAGTAAATATATATATTTATACATATATACACATATATAGTAACATGACCTTTTACTATATATAGAGTAAATATATATAGTACATATATACATATATGCATATATATGTACATATATACCTGTATGTGTATATATACATATACATATACACACATATATATGTATAAGTATATAGTAAAAGATCATGTTACATTGGTACTTTTTAAATTCTAAACTCTAAGTTTAGAACAAAGATCAACATATTTGTTATGGCAAATGATCGGTTCTTTGCTCAGTCACCAAAGAATATGCATGAAATAACATTATTCAGTGGTGAGTTCCATTAATAGCATGAAGTAAAATAAAAGCACCTGGAAGGAAGAAATAGAGCACCTTCTCATTGAGTACTTACCTCTGTTAAGGGAGTCAGGCTATTGTTGAACTGACAGGCGGCACGTCTGTCAGGACTGTGTATAACAACAAGACCCCTACTGAGAACCCCACGGTCCATGCAATACAGAATGGGGTCTTAGAGAAGCATCCTTAAAAAAAAAAAAAAGGCCTTCAAATTGATTTAGACAGATTTCTCGTGGTGGTGGACAACAGATTTTGTGTAATAAACTCTAGAGCTTTATTTCACATTATCATTTAACAATAACATTATGAACAATTTTTTTTTCACTATTTCAACTTTTCCTTTAGATTCCGGGGGTACATTGTGTGATGTACCAGTTTGCTATGTGGGTATATTGTGTGATGCTGAGGTTTGGGGTATGATTGATCCTGTCACCCAGGACTGAGTGTAGTAGCCAATAGTTTTTCAACCCTTGTCTCCCTCCCTCTCTCCCCACTCTAGTAGTCCCCGATGTCGATTGTTGCCATCATTAGGTCAATGAATACCGGATGTTTAATTCCCATTTGTCAGTGAGAACATATGGCATTTGGTTTTCTGTTCCTGGGTTAATTTGATTAGGATAATGGCCCCCAGCTGCATCCATGTTACTGTGAAGGACACGAGTTCATTGTTTTTTATGGCTGAGTTGTACTCCATGGTGTATGTGTACCACATTTTCTCTATCCAGTCCACCACTGATGGGAACCTAGGTTGATTCCATGTCTTTGCTATTGTGAATTGTACTGTGACAAACATGCAAGTGCATGTGTCTTTTTGGTAGAATGATTTATTTTCTTTTGGCTACAGACCAAGTAAAGGGATTGCTGGGTCAAATGATAGTTCTATTTTAAGTTCTTGAGAAATCTCCACATTGCTTTCCATAGTGGCTGAACTAATCTACATTCTCATCAACAGCATATAAGCATTCTCTCCTCTCAACAGCCTTGTCAGCATCTGTTGTTTTTTTACTATTTCTTTCTTTATTCTGAAAGTATGGGGCTTCAATTACTGAGCTTTTTAGTAGTAGCCATTCTGACTGGTGCAAGATGGTATCTCATTGTGGTTTTGATTTGCATTTCTTTGATGAATAATGATATGGGGCATTTTTTCACATGTTTGTTGGCTGCTTGTATGTCTTGTTTTGAGAAGTGATTGTTCAAGTCCTTTGCCCACTTTTTAATGGGGTTGTTTTTTGCTTGTTCAATTGTTTAAGTTCCTTATAGATTCTGGATATTAGGCGTTTATTGGATGCACAGTTTGTGAATATTTTCTCTCATTCTGTAGGTTGTCTATTTACTGTGTTGATAGTTTCATTTACTGTGCAGAAGCTCTTTAGTTTAATTAGGTCCCGCTTGTCAATTTTTGTGTTTGTTGCAATTGCTTTTGAGGACTTAGTCATAAATTCTTTCTGAAGATTGATGCTCAGAATGATGTTTTCTAGATTTTCTCCTGGGGTTTTTACAGTTTGAGGTCTTACATTTAAATCTTTAATCCATCTTGAGTTAATTTTTCTATATGGTGAAATGTTGGGGTCTAGTTTCAATCCTCTGCATGGAGCTAGCCAGCTATCTCAGCACCACTTATCGAATAGGGAGTCCTATCCTCATTGCTTATTTTTGTTAATGTTATCAAAGATTAGATTGTTGTATGAGTGTGGCTTTATTTCTGGATTCTCTATTCTGTTCCTTTTGTCTATGCCACTTTATATTTTACAACCTTCTGTTTTGGTACTAGTACCATGCTGTTTTGTTTACTGTAGTCTTATAGCGTAGTTTGAAGTCAGGTAATGTGATGCCTCCAGATTTCTTTTTATTTAGGATTGCTTTGGCTATTTGGGCTCTTTTTGGTTCCATATGAATTTCAGAATAGTTTTTTTTCTGGTTCTGTGAAAAATGAGATTGGTAGCTTGATAAAAATAGCATTGAATCTGTAGATTGCTTTGGGCAGTGTGGCCATTTTAATGACATTGATTCTTCCAATCCATTGGCATGGGATGTTTTTCCATTCGTTTGTGTCACCTATCATTTCTTTAAGTCGTGTTCTGTAATTTTCTCTGTAGAGATTTTTCACTTCCTTGGTTAGATGTATTCCTAGGGGGTGTGTGTATGTGTGTGTGGCTATTGAAGTGCAAAATAAAGTCGTAAAATATACAACCATTTTGTGATTAACATGTCTCTCACCATACTAAGAAGAAGTGTTTGACTTAAGGTCTAAATGCAGGAAACATGCATTCTCCAGGGTCTTTTCTAAACT